AGACAATGATTTTATATTTTTGATGTATATATATACTTTTGTGTTGAAGAAGCCAATAAAATCGTATTAATGATATTAGATTTTGTATGATATTTTGATGATAATTGCAGATTTTAAAAATTGTGGAAGAATCAAGCAAGACTTTAAAATTTGACTAATTCCAACAAGTTATATCTTCCTTTTATGTAGAAGATCTCTTCAATGGATGAGACATTATTTTAAGAAATATAACGAACAACGTTAAATATAAATTAAAATATATTAATATGTGGTAATTGTACAAAGATTTATCAAAAAAAAATTTTTTTATATATCTGAAAATATAAAAAACCATAATTAAAAAATACATGCTTAATGATGAGACAGCAAATGTACTCCGCATTTAAGCACAGAACACATTTAATGTCATTAAAATGTAACACTTTAATTTCCGTTCTTCTTTGAAACTTCTGTTAAGGACACTCATCTTGTATTTTATTTTTCAAAATACATTTATTAATTTACAAATATGTTCTTGAGTGATCGAGCGATTAAATAATATATAATCCTCTACGTCACGTTATATAATAGTTTACACCCCGTATATACGCGAGAGTAAACTACATAAAATTGTCGAAATTCTTAAAATTTGTACATTATTTATTAAAAAGAAAGAAAGATAAACAGAAAAGGAAAGAGGAAGAAAGATTGAAATATATTTCATAGTATAAATAATGTCGTAACGATATAAATATTCGTATATATAAATTGAAATAAATATAAACAATTTGATTAAATTAAAATTTATAATCTAAACATTATATTCAATGTCTGCGCTGTATTTTTTTATTTATAAATTCATTCTTTGATTTTAATATGCGGCGCATTTATCATGATGTGAATTGAAATATTTTAACTAATTTCGTTAGACAGTCAAAAAAAGAACATAAATTTAATGGAATAAAAATCATAACAAAGTTTAATATAACTATAAACAAAGAATGTTTTCATCGTATCATTTATGCAGAATATCTCTTCGATGGATGTGGCATTATTTTAAAAGGTATAATAAAACAACGTGGAGCATGCGATATCTGTGATAAAAATTTCATCCTATCATCTATCGATACATCTGTGATATATCATATAAAAATAAAGCATAAAGAAATTTATACATAATGTTTCAAGTGTGCAGTCTTCTTATTCTATATCAAGAAATATGTTAAATCCAGATAATTTACAAAGACTTATACCTAAATTTTTTTATATATATCTAAAAATATAAAAAAACATAATTGAAACACACATGCTTAGAACAACAAATATACTCCACACTTGGATATAAACACATTTAAGGTCATTCTGAAACGCAAGATTTGCGACTAATTTAATAAGACAAATAATTCTTTTAAATTAATGATATTTATTTCAACTTCATAATATCTCTGCATATCTCCAAATGCTACCAAAGGAGTAAGTGAAAAACCGATTAATATAAATATTACTATTTAGTTTTTCTTTAATGATTAATATAAACTTTTGAAAAATAAATGAACAAATATACTTAATGAATAAGAAAGTTAGTTTCGTAATAAACAAGGAATGCGAGCCGAACGCGAAGGTTTGTGTTTTAGATAATAAAAATTAATTTTTCTCCTATGTCTTATAATTGTGCACGAGGCACGAAATTTGTTTAACATAGTGCTAACAATAATATTATTTAAAAATAAATATCAACTTGGTTCTTAATTTTAGAATATCTATTTTAACTCCTAAGTTCCCGATTCTGCAACTTCTAGACCGATATATTTGCTTTTTCTACATCTTTTTAGGGGGATTAGAGAAAAACATAAGAACTAAAATCTCGAATTGAGATTTATTCACAAACATCCGCGTTGAGTTCGCATAGTCTGTTCATTTTGAATTTGCATTTAATCCATGGAGTTTTTATATTCTTATAATAAAACTAAATAAAATTGTAGAATATTCTTATATAAACTATGTGCATACATCAATTATTAAATATTTGTACTGTAAGTCGAGAATTTTATTTTAGCTGAGAATTTTATATGTAAAGATTTAAAAATTGAAAAATGTAAATCTCTCTCTTACCCCTTCACTCTTATCGAGATAATTTGACAATTCACAGCACTGGAGTTTATAATTGTAAAATATAAATACATAAATATTATTGGTAGAATTTAATAAAATTCATGATAATTTGAAATAATATTATTTTAATTAAGCTTAAATAATACATAATATAAATACATGAAGATTAATAAAATTTAATATAACTAATAAATTTGTAAAAATATATTATTTAAATAAATCTTAAATAGAGAACAATAAATAAATAAATAATAATAATAAAATAAATAATAAATGAATTATTTACCACGTTTTATCTTTCAAGCGCATAAGAAAAAATGGTAAATTTGCTAGTTCTAAATTACATTTTCTGCGCATGCTGTGGCAAGTTCTTATACCTATATCTTAGTGAAAACAAGCAAAAAGGCTTTAAAATTTGGGGTCACATTTCATAATAAAGAACAGACCGTCTGTATCGTGGAAAACGTCTCTCGTATACATCAAACACACATCTGTGCTCTTTGTAATCGGCAAACTCATTTCGTGTACTGCGAAAAGCAAAAAATTAATTACGCGAATAGTTTAATGCAATCACTTTAATTTACATTCTTTTTTGTGTTTTGTTTCTCATAATGTCTGATTGTAAGATAACGTACTTACCAGAGGAGATAATAACCATCATTCTCGAATATAATGTTATCACTATTGAGGATATCATTAACTTTCGATGCGTGTGCCAGCAATTTCGTTATGCAGCAACCAAATATAACAAGTTCTTGGAAAAAAAGTTATCTCAAAGGTAATTCTTGTGGTTTGTAAATCTTTTTGTTATTTTGTCTCATTAACGCCTGTCGCACAATGATTATCACTTCTGCGAAGAACATATATTATAAATATGTAATAAATACAAAATATTAGAAAAATTAGGTATGTTGATTTATGTTGCATATTAAATTATTCGCTTTCATTTTTTCTATTGCTCAATAATTTTGGCAACTCTACCGTTATATATATACATATATAATATACATATACATATATATATATATATATATATATATATATATATGGAATGTAAACGTTAAATATAATATACTGAGAAGAATTCTTAATTTTCGACTGTCACAAATTAAAAGACCAAATATTTTTCAACCGACATTTTTCAATTGATGTTTATTTAATTAATCACACAACGTTTCGACCACGGTGTTTCGACCATATAATTTTGGTCTTTCGCACACTTAACAATAACACTTGAGAAAGCCATAAATTATATGAAACACGTTGTGTAATTATTTAAATAAATATTAATTAGTTTATATGCATATCGGTCGAAAAATATTCAGTCATTAAATAATTTTTTTTAAGATTTAATTATTAAAAATGCAACGTAAAAGTGACTTGATTTATTTATTATAATGTGTATTGTTCAATATATTTAACTACATTTTTAAATATAAAAATTATATTAATGATATATATTCGTGATAAAAGCAAACACATTTGATATTGTTCTATCGGTTCTTTTTTATAAATAGCATCAAAATCACAATAAAATTTTTATAAAAGTAAAAAGCATGCCAAGTGACATATATAAGCACAGTCGACATTGTTTGTAAATATGCTTTCGAAAAAATTGTTTTACAAAATATTAAAAAAAAACTTAATCTATACACAGAAATGTGGCGTCATCTTATCTGCAAATAGATAATAAAATATGTATTGTCTTTATATCTGCATCTTACAAATAGATAAAAAAAAGTACTACCTTTACTATATTATTTATTGAAAATAATTTTTAGATATTTTTGATTTAAAGTCATAGCACATTGGAATACTTAAAGTAAACAATAAAGAGATAAAAATATAAATATATATATTGTTGTATCTTTTTTATAACTTATATTTCTTGTATAACTGTGTTTACATAACAAGTCTTAAATATTATTATCTAACCTTACCATACTATTATCTAAACAATTATCTAAATAAATCGTCATATAATTGTATCTTTTATCTAGATATATTTGAAACAAAATCATCTTCACTCAATCTAAGATGAATTTACATACTTTATCTCATCTTTATCCAGCTAATTTTAAATTAATCTTGACACAACACTAAGTATCATCATCAAAAATTTATTACAATATTTTATGGTCGTATTTTAGATGGCCCTATGCGAAGAAAAGATATGAAAGTCTTACGGAGAAAGAAAACAAAGAAAACCTAAACTTTGTTACAATAGGCATAAATTCTGCGACACATGTGCGGAATTATTTGTCTCACATTCTTTTTTATTGTTACAATACTAAATCAAATCAAAATAACTTCTATTACTTAGTTGCTATTTTATTGAGAATAAAAAATAATGTAAAAAAATGCAGTGGTAATATCGATAAATATGTACATTCTTTGTCTGAAAATCTATTTTTTCCTGATCGTCCACATGAGCCTATAAATGTGCTGAAATATATGTTTTATATTGAGGAGATTAAATACTTGTTAACACAATTTCCACAGTAGGATTTTCATATATATTATAATGCTACTATTATTACAATTTAATGTATTTAATCATTAGTTAATACTTCAATATACATTTTTTAGGAATCGCAAATCAATCGAAAGTTATTGCAATATAGAAATGTCTCACTATGAAAAGCTATCTTCGATACGAAATGAGTTGGACAGATATAAAAAGAAACTTGAGAGGGAACAGCTTTTGGAAGAAATTTGTACTTTCGAATCAAAATATATTCAAGTTCGAGAAGATGTATGTTACACGAATGTAAGTGCATCATTGGATACAATCGCACAAGAAGTACGGAATCGTCTCAGAGAGAAGCATCCGAACCATTCGATATTCTCCACGTCTGAAGAAACTTTTTCTTATTGGAAAACCAACAATATCAAAGATAATCATTGGGACAAAACAGAAAGTACGCAGATTATGGATACACTTCAAGAATATATATTTGGCACTTTAAATTTTCGAGTATGTAGGTCCGTACCCGAAGATATCAAATGTTTGTGTATAGATTATGTAAGTTGTTATAGATTATAATATATATAATTATGGGCCATATATGTATACGTCATATGTTGTTTTTAATATTCTCTCGCTTTGATCAATTTGTTCTGTATTATACCTGGCACAGGTTTTACAAAGTAAATTTGGTGAAGAAATCATTGTAAATACAATATTTCATAGCGTGGCTAGAAAACTTGGTCTACGTTGCGATGTAGTAGATATTTGGTCTCACTGCTGTATATCTTGGAAACCAGAATTGTAAGTATAGATATATATTAGAATTGACATTATCATTATTTCTCGATAATCTTTTTTTTTATTATACGCATACATATATAATTTTTTATTATAAAAATTTTCATATGATTAAGGTAATATTTTATTTGTTTACAGCGTCACGAATAATTTAGAAAATGCAAGATGTTTTTACATAAAAGACGAGAAATTCCCGAATTGTCTTCATAATTATCTGCAAAATTACGATTCTTATAAAACATATGACTTCAGCAAAATAAAAACTGAACAGGTTGAAACTTATTTTTTACTTCTATTAATTTTAAGTTATTAATATGCTTGTAAATTGACAAGCAATTAATATATTACATTATATGTGTACAGAAAGAAGAGAAATGTACATCTCTCATTTTTAATTTATAATTAAATCCTTGTTTACATTGAATCTTTATTCATGTTTAATTAACTTTTTTAGATGTCGTACATGATAAAAAATTTAGTTGATAAGTTTATAAAAAAACATAAAATATTCAAATTGGGATTAATCCAAGGGATTTGTAATGTGTAAGAAACATCCGCGCGCTAACATAATCGCATATTAGTATATATACCATTGTAAAAATAAAGAGCATTGTGAGATATTTTCAGATAACAATTATGTATAATTTACAATTTTCTATAATTTTACGTGTTTTAAGTGTTTATTGAAACATTTATTCACAAAAAATCTATCAAAGTAAAAATTTTACAGTTTCTGTCTTATTTTAAATAATATAACAAATAAATGAAAACGTGAAATATGCTATGGAAATTATCATAATATCTAATCCACCTACAGATCAATCTACAGATTCGGACCAACATAATAGATAATAGGATGTTATTGACATATACATAGATACATACACATGTTCGGCAATTGAGAATCAACGATGAATAAAATATATCTATTATTTTTCTGCGATATTTATTGTATTAGATAATATAAATAATAAAATAAGAAAATTTTGTGACTGCAACAATTTGAATTGGTGCAGAAAAATTAATAAATCTTATAATAAAAAAATTAATTAGTTTAATAACTTTTTTTAACACTTTCAATATATGCAAAATATGACGTAATAAATTTGCCATCTATTAATATCTATTATTTTGAAACTTATATAATCGATAGTGTGTTGCATTTGTATAAGTATAAATAGGTATGTTAATAAAAGACAATGATTTTTATATTTTCAAATATACACAATTCTTTTGTATTGAAGAAGACGATAAAAACTTATAATTGATATTAGATTTTGTATGATATTAGCATAATTTCAGATGTTGCAAATTCATCTCAATTTTAGAATCTCAATTTTAATTCCTCAGTTTCCGATTCAGCGACTTTTGGACCGATATATTTTGCTTTTCTACATCTTTGTAGAGAAATCAAAAGAAAACATAGGAATTAAAATCTCGAATTGAGATTTATTCACAAACATCTGCGTTGAGTTCGCATAGTCTGTTCATTTTGAGTTTGTATTTAATCCATGAAGTTTTATATTCTTATAAAGTTTAGATTATTAAAATATATACACCCTATATATACGCGCAAATAAAACTACATAAAATTGTAGAATATTCTTATATAAACTATTTGTACATGCATCATTTATTAAATATTCGTATTGTAATTCGGAAATTTTATTTTAGCTGAGAATTTCATCTGTTAAGATTTGAAAAATGCAAAATGTAAATCTCTCTCTTTCCCTTTCTCTCCTATCGAGAACATTTCATAATGCACAGCACTGGAGTTGTAAATTGTAAAATATGAATACATAAAAGTTGGTAAAATTAAAAAAATAAATGATAACTTGAAATAAAATTATTTTAATTAAGCTTAAATAATAAATAATACAAATACATGAAAATTAATAAGATTTGAAATAACTGATAAATTTGGAAAAATATATTATTTTAATTAAGCTTAAATAAAGAACAATACATAAATAAATAGTAATAATAAAGAATAATTAATAAATAAATTATTTACCACGTTCTATCTTTCAAGTGCATAAAAAAAGTGGTAATTTTTGCTAGTTTTTAATTATATTTTCTGCGCATGGCTTGACAAATCCTAATACCTATATCTTAGTGAAAACAAGCAATAATGCTTTAAAATTTGGGGTCACATTTCATAATAAAGAACAGACCGTCTGTATCGTGGAAAACGTCTCTCGTATACATCAAACACACATCTGTGCTCTTTGTAATCGGCAAACTCATTTCGTGTACTGCGAAAAGCAAAGAATTAATTACGCGAATAGTTTATTGCAATCACTTTAATTTACATTCCTTTTTTGTGTTTTGTTTCTCATAATGTCTGATTATAAGATAACGTGCTTACGAGAGGAGATAATAACCATAATTCTCGGCTGTAATGTTATCACTATGGAGGATATCATCAACTTTCGATGCGTGTGCCAGCAATTTCGTTATGCAGCAACCACATATAACAAGTTCTTGGAAAAAAAGTTATTTCAGAGGTAATTCTTGTGATTTGTAAATCTTTTTGTTATTTTGTCTCATTAACGCCTGTCGCACAATGTATATCACTTCTGCGAAGAACGTATATTATAAATATATAATAAATACAAAATATTAGAAAAATTAGGTATGTTGCATTTATGTTGCATATTAAATTATTCGCTTTCATTTTTTCTATTGCTCAATAATTTTAACATACTCTACCGTTATATATGTGTATATACATATATAATATACATATACATATATATATATATGGAATATAAACGTTAAATATAATATACTGATAAAAAAGGATTCTTAATTTTCGGCTGTCATAAATTAAAAGACCAAATATTTTTCAACCGACATTTTTCAATTGATGTTTGTTTATTTAATTAATCACACAACGTTTCGACCACGGTGTTTGGACGATATAATTTTGGTCTTTCGCACACTTAACAGTAACACTTGAGAAAGCCATAAATTATATGAAACGTTGTGTAATTAATTAATAAAATATTAATTAGCCTACATGTATATCGGTCGAAATATATTCAGTCATTAAATAATTTTTTTTTAGATTTAATTATTAAAAATACAACATAAAAGTAACTTGGTTTATTTATTATAATGTGTATTCTTCAATATATTTAATTGCATTTTTAAATATAAAAATTATATATATGATATATATTCGTGATAGAAGCAAACACATTTGATATTTTTCTATCGGTTCTTTTTCATAAATAGCATTGAAATCACAATAAAATCTTTATAAAATTGAAAACATGCCAAGTGACATATATAAGCACAATCAACATTGTTTCTAAATATGCTTTCGAAAAAATTGTTCTACAAAATATTAAAAAAAAACTTAATCTATACATACATACGCACACATTAATGTTTATTAATTGATATAAAATACACTTATAGAATTATGCAATATACATATTGGAATCAAAATTTGGAAAGTATAAATTAAATTACAAATTAAAATTGACTATTATATATTTTCTTTTTCTGATTAAAGTATAAAAAAAGTGACATATATATACTCATGCTTTGAGAATTGTATACTTAAAAAAATTTATTAATTTGAAAAATGACTTGTGCAATCACATTGTTTACTATCATCAAAGTTTGCTGTATGTTATCTAAATAAAATTAAATGGAAGAACTGTGGCGTCATCTTATCTGCATATAGATAATAAAAATATGTATTATCTTTATATCTGCATATTACGAGTAGATAAAAAAAAGTACTACCTTTACTATATTATTTATCTACAATAATTTTCAGATAATTTTGATTTAGAATCATAGCACTTAAGAATACTTAAAGTAGACAGTAAAGCGATAAAAATTTATAACTAAAAATATGAATACATATATCGTATTGTTGTACCTTTTTCATAATTTATATTTCTTGTATAACTGTGTTTATACATAAGCAGTCTTAAATATTATTATCTAAACAGTTATCTAAATAAATCGTCATATAATTGTATCTTTTATCTAGATATACTTGAAACAAAATCATCTTCATTCAATCTAAGATGAATTTACATACTTTATCTCATCTTTATCCAGCTAATTTTAAATTAATCTTGACACAACACTTAGTATCATTTTCAAAAATTTATTAGAATATTTTATGGTCGTATTTTAGATGGCCCTATGCGAAGAAAAGATATGAAAATCTTACGGAGGAAGAAAAAAAAGAAAACCTAAACTTTGTTACAATAGGCATTAATTCTGCAATACAATTGCGAAATTATTTGTCTCAAATTCTTTTTTATGATTATTATTACAATAATAAATTAAATCAAAATTACTTCGAGAACTCAATTGATACTGTATTGAAATTCTATAATAATGTAAAAGAATTCAGTGGTAATATCGATAAATATGTACATCCTTTTCATGAAATTCTACTTTTTCCTGATCGTCCACGAGAGCGTATAAATGTGCTAAAATATACGTTTTATATTGAGGAGATTAAATGCTGGTTAACACCATTTCAACAGTAAGATCTTCATATATATTATAATGATACTATTATTACAATTTAATGTATTTGTTCATTAGTTAATAATTCAATATATATAAATTTTTTAGAAAAATTAATCGCAATTCAATCCAAAAATTTTGCAATATAAAAATGTCTCACTATGAAAAGCTATCTTCGATACGAAATGAGTTGGACAGATATAGAGATATGCCTGAAAGAGAACAGCTTTTGGAAGAAACATGTACTTTCATAGCACAACAAATTCAACCTCGAAAAGATGTATATTACACGAATGTAAGTGCATCATTGGATACAATCGCACAAGAGGTACTGAATCGTCTCAGAGAGAAGCATCCGAACCATTCGATATTCTCCACGTCTGAAGAAACTTTTTCTTATTGGAAAACCAACAATATCAAAGATAATTATAAGGACCAAACAGAAAGTATGCAGATTATGGATACACTTCAGGAATATATATTTGACACTTTGAACTTTCGAGTATGTATCTTCGTACCCGAAGATATCAAATGTTTGTGTATAGATTATGTAAGTTATTAGAGATTATAATATATATAATTATGGGCCATATATGTATATATTATATATTGTTCTTACTATTCTCTCGCTTTGATCAATTTGTTCTGTATTATACCTGGCACAGGTTTTACGAAAAAAATATGGTCAAGATATCATTGTATATACAATATTTCATAGCGTGGCTAGAAGACTTCGTCTACGTTGCGATGTACTATGTATTAAAAATGAATTCTGTATATTGTGGGAATCAAAATTGTAAGTATAGATATATATTAGAATCGACATTATCATTATTTCCCGATAATCTTTCTTTTTTTATTATACGCATACATATATAATTTTTTATTATAAATTTTTCATATGATTAACGTAATATTTTAATTGTTTACAGCGTCACGCATTATTTAAAAAATGCACGATGTTTTCGCATAGTAAACCAGAATTACCCGAATTGTCTTCGTGATTCTCTACTACATTACATGTGTTTTAAAACATGTGACGTCACCGCAATAACAATTGGAGAGGTTAAAACTTATTTATTATTTCTATTAATTTTTAGTTATTTATATGCTTGTAAACTGACAAGCAATTAATAAATTACATTATATGTGTATAGAAAGAAAAGAAATGTACATCTCTCATTTCTTAATTTATAATTAGATCCTTGTTTACATTGAATCTTTATTCATGTTTAATTAACTTTTTTAGATGTTGTACATGATAAAAACTTTAGTTGGAAAGTTTATAAGAGGACATAAAATATTCAAAGTGGGATTAATCCAAGTGAATTGTAATGTGTAAAAAACATCCGCGCGCTAACATAATCGCATATTAGTATATACCATTGTAAAAATAAAGAGCATTGTGAGATATTTTCAAATAACAATTATGTATAATTTACAATTTTCTATAATTTTACGTGTTTTAAGTGTCTATTGAGGCATTTATTCACAAAAAATCAATCAAAGTAAAAATTTTACTGTCTTATTTTAAATAGTAGAACACATAAATGAAAACGTGAAATATGCTATGGAAATTATCATAATATCTAATCCACCTACAGATCAATCTACAGATTCGGACCAACATAATAGATAATAGGATGTTATTGACATATACATAGATACATACACATGTTCGGCAATTGAGAATCAACGATGAATAAAATATATCTATTATCTTTCTGCGATATTTATTGTATTAATTAATATAAATAATAAAGTAAGAAAATTTTGTGACTGCAACAATTTGAATTGGTGCAGAACAATTAATAAATCTTATAATAAAAAAATTAATTAGTTTAATAACTTTTTTTAACACTTTCAATATATGCGAAATATGACGTAATAAATTTGCCATCTATTAATATCTATTATTTTGAAACTTATATAATCGATAGTGTGTTGCATTTGTATAAGTATAAATAGGTATGTTAATAAAAGACAATGATTTTTATATTTTCAAATATACATAATTCTTTTGTATTGAAGAAGACGATAAAAACTTATAATTGATATTAGATTTTGTATGATATTAGCATAATTTCAGATGTTGCAAATTCATCTCAATTTTAGAATCTCAATTTTAATTCCTCAGTTTCCGATTCAGCGACTTTTGGACCGATATATTTTGCTTTTCTACATCTTTGTAGGGAGATCAAAAGAAAACATAGGAATTAAAATCTCGAATTGAGATTTATTCACAAACATCTGCGTTGAGTTCGCATAGTCTGTTCATTTTGAGTTTGTATTTAATCCATGAAGTTTTATATTCTTATAAAGTTTAGATTACTAAAATATATACACCCTATATATACGCGCAAATAAAACTACATAAAATTGTAGAATATTCTTATATAAACTATTTGTACATGCATCATTTATTAAATATTCGTATTGTAATTCGAAAATTTTATTTTAGCTGGGAATTTTATCTGTTAAGATTTGAAAAATGCAAAATGTAAATCTCTCTCTTTCCCTTTCACTCCTATCAAAAACATTTCATAACGCACAGCACTGGAGTTGTAAATTGTAAAATATAAATACATAAATATTATTGGTAGAATTTAATAAAATTCATGATAATTTGAAATAATATTATTTTAATTAAGCTTAAATAATAAATAACACAAATACATGGAAATTAGTAAGATTTGAAATAACTGATAAATTTGGAAAAATATATTATTTTAATTAAGCTTAAATAAAGAACAATACATAAATAAATAGTAATAATGAAGAATAATTAATAAATAAATTATTTACCACGTTCTATCTTTCAAGAGCACAGGAAAAAGTGGTAATTTTTGCTAGTTCTTAATTACATTTTCTGCGCATGCCGTGACAAATCCTTATACCTGTATCTAGGTAAAAACAACAATAAAACTTTAAAATTTGGGGTCACATTTCATAATAAAGAACAGAACGTCTACAGTGTGGAAAACGTCTCTCGTATACATCAAACACACATCTGTGCTCTTTGTAATCGGCAAACTCATTTCGTGTACTGCGAAAAGCAGAGAATTAATTACGCGAATAGTATATTGCAATCACTTTAATTTATAATCCTTTTTGTGTTTTGTTTTTCATAATGTCTGATTGTAAGATAACGCGCTTACCAGAGGAGATAATAGCCATCATTCTCGGCTATAACGTTATCACTATTGAGGATATCATTAACTTTCGATGCGTGTGCAAGCAATTTCGTTATGCAGCCAAATATGACAAGTTCTTGGAAAAAAAGTTATTTCAGAGGTAATTCTTGTGATTTGTAAATCTTTTTGTTATTTTGTCTCATTAACGCTTGTCGCACAATGTACATCACTTCTGCGAAGAACGTATATTATAAATATGTAATAAATACAAAATATTAGAAAAATTAGGTATGTTGCATTTATGTTGCATATTAAATTATTCGCTTTCATTTTTTCTATTGCTCAATAATTTTAACAAACTCTACCCGTTATATATATATATATATATATATACATATATATATATATATATATATATATATGGAATGTAAACGTTAAATATAACATACTAATAAGAATTTTTAATTTTCGGCTGTCATAAATTAAAAGAACAAATATTTTTCAACCGACATTTGTCAATTGATGTTTATTTAATTAATCACACAATGTTTTGACCACAGTGTTTCGATCATATAATTTTGGGGTCCTTCGCACACTTAACAGTAACACTTGAGAAAAACAAAAATTATATGAAACGTTGTGTGATTAATTAAATAAATATTAATTGGCCTGTATTGATCGAAAAATATTTAGTCATTAAATTTTTTTTTTTTATTTAATTTGGTAAAAACTAAATTTAAAAGTAACTTTGCTTATTTATTTTAATGTGTATTTTCAATATATTTAATTGCATTTTTAAATATAAAGATTATATATATGATATATATTCGTGATTAAAACAAACAGATTTTCTATCGGTTCTTTTTCATAATTAGCATTGAAATCACAATCAAATCTTTATAAAAGTAAAAACGTGCCAAGTAACATATATAAGCACAGTCGACATTGTATGTAAATATGCTTTCGAAAAAATTGTTCTACAAAATATTTAAAAAGAAACTTAATATATACACATACATACACATACGCACATTAATGTTTATTAATTCCATATAGAATTCACGTATAGAATTGCGAAATATACATATTAAAATCAAAATTTGAAAATATAGTTTTAATATACTTTTAGGAATACGTAGTTCAAAAATAAATATAAAACTAATGTTATTCATCCAAGTATAAATTAAATTACAAATTAATATTGAATATTATATATTTTAATTTTTCTGATTAAAGTATAATGAAACTTTGGAATCATCTTATCTGCATATAGATAATAAAAATACGTATTACCTTTATATCTGCATCTTAAATGAAAAAAAGTATTCTCTTTACTATATAATTTATCTAGAGTAATTTTCAGATAATTTTGGTTTAAAATCATAGCACATAAAAATACTTAAAGTAGACGGTAAACCGATCAAAATTTAAAAATATTTATAAATATGAATAAATATATATTATTGTATCCCTTTTATAATTAACATTTTTTTATAACTATGTTTTTCAGATGGCCCGATGTAAAGAGACAATATAAAATTTTTAAGAAAACAAAGGATGGACAAAACATGAACTTTCTTGCAAAAGGCCTAACTTGTGCGACACAGGTGCGAAACTGCTTGTCTCACATTCTTTTTTACGATTATTATTACAACAATAAATCAAATCAAAATTATGACATTGACCCAATCGATGATGTAATCGGATTCATTGATAATATAGATGAATATTTGAATCGTTTGTTTGAAAATGAACCTTTTTTTCGAAGACTTACCTCTGCAGATGAGATGAAATACTTGTTCTATATTGACGAGATTAAATACTTCTTATCACCATCTCCACAGTAAGATCTTCATATATATTATAGTGCTACTATTATCACAATTTAATGTTTTATTTTATTGATTAACTTAATATTTCAATACATAATTTTTTTAGAAAAATTGATCGCAATTCAATCGAAAGATATTGCGAAATAAAATTGTCTCACTATGAAAAGCTATCTTCGATACGAAATGAGTTGGACAGATATATAGTGAAACCTGAAAGACAACAGCTTTTGGAAGAAATTTGTACTTTCGTGGCAAAATATATTCAAGTTCGAGAAGATGTATGTTACACGAATGTAAGTGCATCATTGGATACAATCGCACAAGAGGTACTGAATTCTCTTAGAAAGAAGCATCCGAACCATTCGATATTCTCTACGTCTGATGAAACTTTTTCTTATTGGAAAACCAACAATATCGAAGATAATCATTGGAATGAAACAGAAAGTACGCAGATTATGGATACACTCCAGGAATATATATTTGGCACCTTGAACTTTCGACCATGCAGGTCCTTTCGCGTACTTATCAATTGTTTGTGTATAGATTATGTAAGTTATTATAGATTATAATACATATTAATTATGGGCCATATTTAAGTTAGGTTTAATTCAGTTCTTATCACAGAAAAAAACAGTATCCTTGAGAGAATGCAAATACGCCTTGATTCAAGTATGTTTTATCCTTATAATAACGCTAAAAATAAATAGTTTTGGATAAAGGATAATTTATCCTTAAAACAAAGTGCAAAATATTCTTGGTTGAAGCTGAAATTTACTTATAAATATTGCAAGGACAAGTGACAAGTGTGCATCGGATATAAGCGGTACTTTCAAATAAATATAATAATTCTTAGTTCAAATGTGACTAAGTTTGTTTTTACCATATATGCGATTTTTAAAACAAGAATATATCTTAAGGATAAAATATACTTTACACAAACTTATTTATTATTAAGGCAAATGAAAATTTGTGATCACAAAGAGCATTCAAATAGCGTTCAAGAATAAAAATATACTTGAATCAAGGATTCCTTTTTTTCTGTGATTGAATATACAGATTGAAAAATCCTTTACAATGAAAAATACCTATAATATGATGAATGGGAAGCGCTGTCCGGCTACAAATTTTTGCTGTTTTATGCCTCGACATCGATTCCGCACGCAAAGTATACTCAGTAAGCAAAAAATCATTGGTACAACGTCATTATTGCTGTCAAGTATGTACTTTTTAACATTGTATGCAACATCATTATGAACAAACTTTGACATTGATTTAGAGGTTTCAATAATGTTGAAATTAACCTTTAAAATATTTTATTTATATTTTGAGAGCACATTATGTTATTGAATAATATTTTTAAAACATTTATAAAACATCAATTAAAATATTTTTTAAAATATTTATTAATAATATTTTAAACATATTTCTACAACATTATATCATAACGTTTGGAAAATTTATATAAAATCAACATTATAAAATGTTGATTAAATATTTCTTGCTTACTGGGTATATACATACATAATTCATTCAAGTACGAATCCGCTGATACAAGCTTTTAATCTCATTTTTATTACTTCTGTATTATTCTTTTATGTTATCTCTATTAAGGACGCCATATTTTGTGCACAAATAATCTGCAGAATACTTTTGTATTAAATAATCTGCAAAATACTTTTGTATTAAATAAGTATTGTTATGAGCTGATGCAACAAACGGATATAAAAACTGTAATTTCTTAACATTTATTGTTTTCTATACAAAATCACAGCGCTCCCCGTTTATTATTATCAGTACTTTAATTGTAAAAAAACATTGT